ATATTAATATTAGAAATTAAAGTTAGCGTGGGCTTAATTTAGCAATTTTTAAAAATCATTAAAATTCGCTACATTAAATACCCATTAACAATAATTGTTTCCTTAAGGTATTTATACAATGTACATGTACATGTGTAGCTGATTGAAAGCTTATCTGTTACCAAGAGTGTTCACAGTTGCTACTGATGAAGTTTCTGACATTCCATACAACTGCAATAGAGCAATATCAAAACCAGCATAGAAATCAGTCACTGCTTTAGGTAAAGGGGCACCCCCTGAAATCTGTAGAGATAATTAATAAGTTATTATGATGACAATAATGTGAATATTGTGCTTACACAGAATCTGCGTTGATCGAGTCCAAGTTTCTCTCTTAAATTTTTAAAAACAAGTCTGGAAAAAAACACAAAAACTAATATTAATAATATTATTAATGGTACAGTAGGTGCCATTTGATAGTATCACAAACTTCATAAAAGTCTGTGACAAATTACTTATTTACATGTACGTCACAAAGGTAAAAAAGATTTAAAATGTAGAAATATTAGTTTTTCAGATTATACCGTGTACCTGTTGGCCAGTCCATATCCAAACACAGATTGGTTGTTTCTGTTTATCTTATTCTCTTGACTTCTTTGACCAACTTCCTATTACAATGAACACACACAATAATACAAGCTACATGTAAGAATGGACTGTGATAGTAGTTGTGTGTTAGCAAAATCACTCCAAATTTTTATTACATTTTCTGATACATATTGATGTCCTTATGCTGTGTAGAAAGTTTGAGCTGATTCCGACTTCAATTTTTCAAGTTACCGCCGTTTAAAAAAATGGTTGATCTTTGAAAAATACCCAAGCCCATGGTTTTTTCCAAAAAATGGCTCCGAAATCACCCCAAATTTTAATTAAATTTTCTGATACATATTGATATCCTTATGCTGTGTAGAAAGTTTGAGCTGATTCCGACTTCAATTTTTCAAGTTATGGCCGTTTTAAAAATGGCCGATTTTTGAAAAATATCTAAGGCTATAGCCCATGGTTTTTTCCAAAAAATGGCTCCGAAATCACCCCAAATTTTTATTAAATTTTCTGATACATATTGCTATCCTTATGCTGTGTAGAAAGTTTGAGCTGATTCCGACTTCAATTTTTCAAGTTATGGCCGTTTTAAAAATGGCTGATTTTTGAAAAATATCCAAGGCTATAGCCCATGGTTTTTTTTGGAAAAATGGCTCCAAAATCACCCTAAATTTTTATTACATTTTCTGATACATATTGATATCCTTATGCTATGCAGAAAGTTTGAGCTGATTCTGACTTCAATTTTTCAAGTTACCGCCGTTTAAAAAATGGCTGATTTTTGAAAAATACCCAAGGCTATAGCCCATGGTTTTTTCCAAAAAATGGCTCCAAAATTACCCCAAATTTTAATTACATTTTCTGATACATATTGATGTCCTTATGCTGTGTAGAAAGTTTGAGGTGATTCCGACATC